CCCCCGCGCGTGCGCCCGCGCGCGCGCGCGCGCCCCTCCAAGTCCGAGTTTGTCGTCAGGGCCAGGGTTTTCCTGGCCTGACAAGGCGAAAAGCGCGGGATCCGTTACACAGCCGTTACCAACGGCAACAACCACCACCACCACAACCACTACTGCTCCTACTGCTGCAACTATTCCTCCGTCACGCTTTTACTTCCAGTCCCACGGCGACGACGACTGCTACTGCTGCTACTCCTACTGGAGCTACGGCTAATGCTAGCACTACTACTGTAATTACTACTGCAACTGCTAGTACCACCACCGCCACCACCACCACCATCATCGTTTCGACGAAATACTGACACTACAGCTACGGTGCTGACGATCTCCTCTACTGCTGTCGGCATCACATATGCTTGATGGCTTTTGGATGTCTCAGAAGAAGCGGCGAAAAAGACCTAGCAGCATCATTCGTCCAGGATGGCGAGTGGCAAGGTGCCATTCCTACGGCTGCTGCTCCCGGTTAGGCATAGCAAGTTTGACGTGAAGGGTGGAAGCTGCCCGCGAACAAAAAGAAGGCCAAAACGGCCTCCGTAGTAAGCTAGATCCAATTAACCTGGAGCAGGCCCACCGTATACACGTACGACCGGACACTGCCTGTTGCTAGCCACCGAGCCTCCAACCTGTCACTGTCGACTTTCCGAGTTGCCATCTGCAAGTGTAGTTCGAGTTCTGTGGATTTCATAAACGCAAACATCGATGCCGATACATCTGTATGGGTCGGAAACTAGCCCGAAGCGCGAGAACTCCGTCTTCGGAGTTGGCTCGCTGTATGCAAGTCAGCGGAACTCCACTGAGACTCCGCCGTGCTGGCAGTGGCTCACATCAGAACCGCAACATCGAGTATTCACCGGATTCCTTGCACTGAACATCGCCCTGTGATATGCCACCGTTCAGCACAACGGTGGGACGAGCTTCAGGAGAATATTATGTTGACCCGAAACAGTGGAACGAGCCGAAGCACCCGTACGCACTTTATTGCGCCGGCTGGCGCTGTCGAACGATGGCAAGAATTCCCGTTTTAAATGCAGTCCGGCAGGCGACTGCCGCACATCAGCCCCCGACGAGATAAAGCATTCTCATCAGACAGAGAACCACAGTTCTTCTTTTGTGTTCGCAACGTCCTGAGCGGCACGATCATAGGCCAAGCCACCCGTACACTGTTCCCGAAACCACGGAAAAACTCATAGGGCAAGTGAGCGGGGTGAAAGTTGACCCCTTGTTCAGCCAACCCTTCTGGTTGCTGCCTTTTTCGCATCAGGACTTGTGCTTGCCGCCTGAATCCTGGAACCAGAAAGTACACCACAAGACTCATAAGCATCCGTGCCGGGGCCGGACTCAGCATCCATGCAAGGATGCCGCTGAGGCCTCTGACACACCCCACACCTAACAGCGCCAAAAACGAACTAGATTTGCGCCGAGTACAACTGGATAACGCCCGAGCCTGCACACTGACCCGCCCAAGTCATTAACCAACAATCCCCTCCCCGCTGTCCTTGATCTTCGCTGGCGGCTCCACCTCTTGAGCGAGAGCCTGGAGTCTATGCGAAAGCAGGGGCACCTGGAAGCAGGACCTTTGCTGCCCTGAACCCCCCCCCCCAGAGCTCTGCGCCCCACCCAACCCTCCGTATTCTCCTGGGCTGGAATCTGCTCCATCGTCGTCAGGAGCCAGATGCTGATGCCCCCCAGCAGGAGAAAAGGGATCAGAGCGACCAAACTGTATGGATCCTGGCGCAGATACGTACTGACGCGCCAAACATGCTACATATCCATTTCTCTGTCACCATCCTTACGATCACCGTCCGTACCTGAAGTGGTACAGAGAGCAGTGTAAAATGTGAAAAATTCGCCTCGGCCGCGACTGAAGCCGTCCCTTCTCCGAGAACCTCTTGTCCCTCCTCTTAATCCCGTCCTCAGTGATTCATCTTCCGCAGTGGCCATTATACCCCCCCAATAATGTCCCTATATACCCCCCCAATAATATCCCTACGACCAGAGATTTTGAAAACGGCGAGCGGGTCTGGCGGATTTGCTCGGTTACAATCTTCTTGAGCCCTGCAACTGTGACCAGGCCGTGGCGGACGACGCGAAGCCGTTACCTTCTAGAAAATCTTATGGAAAACACAGAACTGTATGACGAGTAGCTTGGGCTGATTCCCTTCGCACTTGACAATCTCATGACCTCAACTGGCCCTCGAAAGTTGGGGCGGCAAGGAAGAAAACGGTATGTCCCTTGAATTCGGGGTCTGCGGGCTTGGACTTTCATGGACTCTCTAACACATGTGTGTTTCCCCCATGTTCACAAGTCACAACCACTTGAAGGCCTGGAAACCACAAACAAGCTCTGAATTTTTTATCCGGTGGATGATGGGCCGGCAGGTCAGGGAGCTTTTCTCGGCGGGGGAGCAGCAGAAGCAGCACGAGTAGCAGGGGTAGCAGCAGCAGCAGGCAGCAGCTAGCGACTAGAAGCTAACAGCTCGGAGCTAGGCTGCTGCAGCATCAGCAGGGGAAGAAGCAGGAGCAGCTCCGGCCGGAGACGAAGCGGTAGCAGTACGAGTAGTAGGTAGTTGTAGTAGTAGTAGTAGTAGTAGTAGTAGCAGTAGTAGCAGTAGTAGCAGAGTAGTAGTAGTAGTAGTAGTAGTAGTAGTAGTAGTAGTAGTAGTAGTAATAGTAGTAGTAGTAGCAGTACCAGTAGCAGTAGCAGTAGCAGTAGCAGTAGTAGTAGTAGCAGTAGTAGAAGGAGT